AAAGAGCCTTGTTTCTGTATCACATGAATCCTGCGTGTAACTGTAATCAGGCGCGGACTCACCCCTGCGGCGCCTCCTCCCTGGTCGTCTCAGGAATTAGCTCACCAGCCTCCGGAGCGCCCTCTGCAGGCCAGGTGTCCTGCCTGTCTTTGGCCCCCGTGTCCATCCCAGACCCCGGTGCCATTGGCTTAGGTGCTGCCCCCCCTGGCAGTACCCCACTCTCTCTCTGGGTCTCCCCACCCAGGGGAACCCCCACCCCTATCCCAATGTCACCTCAGTTGTGGCTACTGCCAGTCACCATCTAGCCCCCCCGCCCTGGGACAGACTGCAGCCTATCAGTCAATCATCACCAGCAACAAGGGGTTTGGACTGGCTGCCGTTACCCACTCTCTGGCTGCCCCTGTGCAACCCCAATACCTATTTGGGCCTAGGACCAGGCCGTGCAGCCTGGGGAGTTGCTGGCCTAGGGCTTCCCAGCCCCCAAGGCCTTTCCCCAGCCCTGCCTTACTCTAGGTCCCCAGGTGAGCTCCCTGCAGCCAGGCCTGTCTCTCTCTCTCTCCTGTCAGAGAGAGATTCCTCTGCTCTGACTACCCTGGCCTTCTTATAAGGCTGAGTGGCTCAGTTTGGGGCGTGGCCCCAGCTGCAGCCACTTCCCCAGTCAGCTGGGTTTTGCTCCTTTACTCCGCCACAGCCTTCTGCAGGGCTTTTCCAACCCCTTCAGGGCTGGAGCGGGCATTCACCCCGCTACAGTAGCCCTATGTCTTTATATACAGAAATACACACACAGGTATTTTCCCAACTCACGAATGGGATCGTCTTTAAGACAGAAATTAGCTCCAGTGAGGAGCTATAATTTTGTTATAAATACTTGGGCTCAAAACTGAGCTATCTAGGATTTTCATGGAAGACACTCGTCTTTTCTCCTCTCCACAACTTCCACATGAGAACATATTCTTCTGTTAAAAAGGACCAGAAAGTGGTATTTCCAGAAGATACCATTTACAAGCAAGTATGCTACTTCAATCCAGAAAATATAAGGCAAGTAAATAAGAGGCAGGCAGCATTATCTCCCGCATATGTAAACAAACTTGCTTCTCTTAGCGATTGGCTGAAAAAGAAGTAGGATTGGGTGGACTTCTAGGCGCTAAAGTTTTACATTGTTTTGTTATGGAGTGCAGTTATGTAACAACAACAACAAAATCTACATTTGTAAGTTCAACTTTCATGATAAAGAGACTGCCCTACAGTACTTGTATGAGGTGAACTGACAAATACTATTTCTTTGGTTTGTCATTTTTACAGTGCAAATATTTGTAATCAAAAGTAATATAAAGTGAGCACTGTACACTTTGTATTCTGTGTTGTAATTGAAATCAATAGATTTGAAAATTTGAAAAACATCCAAAAATATTTAATAAATTTCAACTGGTATTCTATTGTTTAACAAGGCAATTAAAACTGCGGTTAATCGCGATTAATTTTTTATTAGTTAATCGCGCGAGTTAACTGCGATTAATCGACAGCCCTAGTAACTAACCATGTCAAAATTTAAATTGTCATAACTAGATTCTAGAGAGTTAATACCCTATTGTGATGAATGTGAGCAGTTCACATGTCTCTTGAAGCTATTGTTCCATGCTGTTTACAAGCCCAGGAAGGCACTTATGCTTCAATTTATACTCCTCCCATTTGGAAGGTTATCTTTGCAACATGGGTTAAAAACAATTTGAAATGCAACTTTTGATTCTAGAGCACAATTTTGTGGTAAGGGGTGGATTCTACAGTCATGTAATCATGGAATACATGTGGCCCTGTGCATCTGATCTTTTCAACAAAACCTCTCTCAAGTAATAACTTCTTACCAAAAAAAAGAGGGGGGAAAAACCCAAACACACAATTCAGAATAATGAGATGGTTAAAACGCCTCTTCTACACCTTCTGGAATTTGTGTTTTCTAAATAATTAAGTTTGATGCATAGATACCAAGGTAATAGGCATCTGTTAAATACCTCAAAATAGACATGGTGATTAACATCTGTAAAATAATTTGAAGTTTCCAATGATTTTCATCGAAGTACAATTCACAACTGTGAAATTCTAGCTATTTGTTTCTCTCTCTAGTTTATACAAAAAAAGTTTTAATTTTTTTCCTCTATTCGTAGCTATGGCAAGGCACCAGATGTTTCCAGGAAGCTAAAAATACAAAGCTAAAAACTTCATTTTTATGATAAAATATGGGGCAGTTCTCAACAATTTCATGAGACTCAAGTAAAGTTGGAGGTCTGGATATTTTCTTTTCAACTGAAAACACAGATACAGGATACTACCATGTAACAAAGCCAAAAGATCCTCAGTTAATAAAATCTGTCCAACTTTTAGAAGAGTAGAGGACCAATTTTATGCAGATAAAGTGGTACAGTATTATACTTAACCTCGTATTTGAGAAGGATTCAAATTTTCACCCATTCCAATTTTTTAATGCTTTCCCTGCAAAAATACTAAAATGTGGGTTATGGGCAGGGCTAATTTAAAAATGCAGATGTGGACTTTTTCCACAGAAACTGGCAAGAACAAAGGTATGAATAAAACTTTGTGCTTATGTTATAATTTCATGATAAGAGAAGATTTTCTTCTCTTTTCTGGAACAAATGATAAAAGGAAAAAGTTTATCATTCCTTTTAATGATACAAAGCTTTTTGATAAATTAGGTAGACATAAAGGGGTCAAGTATAAAGCCCTATTTATGATAAAATCCTCAGTGTAAGCAAGCATACAATCCTTAAGTTCAAAAGCCACAATTAAAGCTGCAGTGCTATACTTCTACCAAACTAAAAAAAAATGCACTAGTCAGAAATGATAGACAATATTAGAAAGATTAGCGTGTTGGAAAATATAAAATTATAGAAGTTTAACATATCATATTGTTAACACTGCTGACTTAAGAGCATTTTACCACACTCATTATCATGACAACCTAAAGCAATATCTTGCCTTTATCACAAACAGGGAGCATCACTGGGGACCCCAAGACAGAAAACTGAAATATTGTTTTGCCATTTCTTTCGGATTCCCAACAGACTTCAAACCAGAAAACTAGTTTTACAGTAATTCATGCTAGCATACTCCTTCTGTCTACTTTTCTGGCTAAACAACTGTTTCAGTGTGAGAACTATATTCTGTGAAGAAATGTTGCAGATTTCAGGATCTCATTTGTGTTGGCAAGCACTTTCTGCTCATTGCTGGTGAGTGGAAAACACATTCCGCAGAGTTGCCATTGGATCTGCATTGAAGAAAACACAAGCTACAGTTTGTATTGGTCTGCTGGCCAATTTCAACAGGAAGGAAGCTTGCAGCCCTCATCAACTCTGCTAGTACCATTAGATGTTACTTTGACTTCAAGATACTGTAGGTTATAGGGAAATTCCTTGAAACTAAAAGTCAAAGTAAAAATTATATTTAAATCTTCTTACAATTATAATACATCCAATTACTCTGCCACGAAACAGCTGAAGTCAAATTTTAGAATCCAGATAAAGCTCGATTAACCTTAAACATATCCATGAGAGACAGTGTGCAGTTCTAAAAAGTATTTATACATATTTTGACACCTGCATTAGGTATGTGTCTGACAAAAATCCACTTAATACCTGCTAACCTGAAGTCTAAACCTACTAGTCAGGATGGATACCTGTGCTGCCATGATCCCAAGGCAATGCACAGAGACAATCCCAATCCAGAGATTTAAAGGACACAATAGTTGTACACTTGGTATTCTAGATTTAGTTTTAACATGTTAATCAACTATCTACTTCATATTTTTTCAAAGTTAAACTCAATATAGCTGATCGAATAGCACTTTTTTTATTAATTGAATTTCACCAGTAATTAACTGTCAAATATTATGTAACCAGCTGAAGAGCTGGTTGAACACTGTAAAAAGCAGTTCAATAGTAATGACATTGAAGTATCTTTGCAAACACTTTTCACCTAGTCCCAGTTATTACACCTCGTTTTAACTGTCTTTTCCTTTCCCTAAAAAAAGGTATTTCTATTTACAAACTGTACTTCTATTTTCTAACTCATCCTACAAATCTTTCCTTCTCTCTTGTTCTAGTCTACTCATTTGCTAATGTCCTACTAAGCAAGCTGGAGACCCATGGTGAAATCCTAGCCCCACTGAAGTAAATTGCAAAACCCCCATTGATTTCAATGGGGCCAGGATTTTACCGCGAAATGGAAGGTGGGGCACCAACATTCAGGAATAATGCCTTACAAAAAGCCAACCAGCCTCTCTTGCTGGGAAAGGGAAGAACGCTAGGATCCTACAGGGTACAGTCCGTGAATCCTATATGTGAAACACACAGTGATACATTTGAAATGCCCCACCCATCTCCAGTCCCTAAAGACTGCACTATTTCCACCCTTAACTGCAGTGTGACCTGGCTGCTACTGGGGTTTGTATCGTTCTTTACTACTTTACTTTCCTTCAACTTTCTGGCTGATGCCAGAGGAGTGTCTCCTCACCTAGCCTCTTCTCCCAGTGAACAGCTTCCATGTCTGCCCATTGTACAGTTTAAAAATCTGTGTAAATGAACAGCAGCGCAAAACTTATCAGTTTAAGTGTTGCCATTAGTGCTCTCAATAGCAGCTTTGAAACTGACCAATTTTGTTAATATCACATTGTTGTAGTTTGGCAAAGCACATTGGAGCAGAGGCACATTAGACTTCTGCAAACTTAGGAGACAGCATAAGTGGTTCACACTCGGTAGGTTATCTTTGTAACCAGAAAGGAATAGAAACTTTATTTTATATGAAACCTTATATTCTGCAGAAGTTGATGGCAGAACACTGGAAAAGCTTCCTATTCAGCCTAAGTGAAGAGATTTTTTCAAGCCATATATCAGATGCAGTCATGTGCCTGACAACAGCATCTATTTACTAATCTGCTGAATCTCTCTGCAGCAGGCATTGAGTTACAGGAACCTGTTTAAAAGCCGTACCTCCTGAAAAAAGTTATGCAGTGTCCATAAATGAAACCTTTTTTGGGGGGGGCTGACCGAATGCTTCTGTTTCTAAGACAGCCTTCAGCTCAGACCTCTGTTTCAAACATCACTTCATGAAAAGCTGTTCCAACAACAGTTGACAGATTCCTAAGTAGCAGCAAAAAATTGGAAAAAAAAATTAAGAGGGCCCTAATATTGGCAATATTTTAATCAAATGTGTGACAAAAATATTGCCTTTTTCCTTTACAATATTTCTGTCACTTTCAAAGATGAATGAGTAAGCAAGAAGGCAGTTTAGCTAATGTTCCAGAACTCCTATGAACAGTAGTTAAAACAGAGCAAAGCAGGAGGGGAAGCTCACCAGTTTTGGTGGTCTTGGTGACAGGTCTCAAAGTAATGTTGTGATGTGGCACTGCATCATCTTGTGGTGATGGGTTGCACTATGGGAAAGAAAAAGGGAAAAAGAAATGTAGCTGAAAGGAGTTCCAACAAAGGGCCAACCAAGCAAGACAAACTGCATGCAATTGTGCATGTACACATCCTGCTGTGGAGGCCACATCCCTGATACTTCACACATCAATTCTTATAAATGCCATAGTTTCAATTTGGCAGGGATGGAGAACAGAAATTGCTACAAAAACAAATAAAAATGAGCACCCTTTCCCTCCAATTTTTTTTTAAAGATATAATCGGCTGCATTTTAGAAAATATTACGATGGTAAAATGTCTCTTTTGAACTAACACAAAAAAGTTAAGTTATCTAGTATTTGTCCGTAACTTGTCAGAGGCAAGTTAGAGGCTAGTAAAGCAAACAAAGAAACCAAAAACCAGGCTCAGGGCAAGTTATTTTCCCATCCTAGCCATACAAATACTGGAGACTGTGCATCTCTCCCTAACTCTCTGCCACACACAATCATGCACTCCTCACATTTATATTGAGTATTTTTATTGCAACATTTCAGCACCAACCTCCAATAATTTTAAAATGTATTATTTTGTGTCTACTAAATTTACAGTACATCTTCCTTTTATCTCTCCACTGTTTTCCCTACCTCCTCTTCTGGTTTGTTTTTTTGAGTTGGATTTCCCTAAAATTCACTCCTCCATCATCACTTGGCCCCTCCAAGATTCTGTTTTAATCCTATATCAGACATGGGCAAATTACAGCCCGCGGGCCGGCTGTCCTGCCCAGCCCCTGGGCTCCCAGCTGGGGAGTCTAGTCCCTGGCCCCTCCCCTGCTATTCCCCTTCCCCCACAGCCAGACCGCTGCACAGGCCGCACTCTGGCCTGCCGCTCCCACTGGGCAGCGTGGGGAGTGCAGCTGGCTTTGGCCGGGTGTCGCGGCCGCGAGCTCCTGCTGCTGGTAAGGGGGCAGGGAGTCCTGGGGGGCAGTCAGGGAGGAGGGGGCGGTTGGATGGGGCGGAGGTTCTGGGAGGGCGGTCAGGGGATGGGAAACAGGGAGGGTTGGGAGTGGGAGTCCCGGGGGGCCCATCAGGGGGCAGGGATGTGGACAGGGGTTGGGAGGTCACTCAGAGGACAGGGAGTAGGGGGGTTGGATAGGGGGCAGGGGTTCCGGGAGGGGGCAGTCAGGGGACAAGGAACAGGGGGGTTGGATGGGTTGGGAGGTTCTGAGGGGGGCAGTCAGGTGGTGGGAAGTGGGAAGGGGTGGATAGGGGGCAGAGGCCAGGCTGTTTGGGGAGGCACAGCCTTCCCTACCCAGCTCTCCATACAGTTGCGCAACCCTGATGTGGCCTTTGGGCCAAAAAGTTTGCCCACCCCTGTCCTATATCCTTGTTCCCATGTAAACCAGAGTTTTTACATCTCACCAAAATTTACTTAACCCCATATCTACTTCACTACAGGACATTGAAGGGAGAGGGAGATAGGCTGTTACAGGAATCCTGGAATCTTTCCCTTCTGGAATGTGGAGAGAGGAAGAGAACTGCTGGAGGATTTGGTGTCTGCTCTTCTAGCCTCTCCTCCTCTTTGACCTGTTAATGGAAAGAACTTTTGTAGAAGAGACAGAAAAGGAACTGCATCTCTGATCAGTTGATGCTGCTGTTCCACCTACTGGGAAGAAGGACCAGAAATTTCCCAGCCAGGCAATAGCAATTCCTCTTGTTCACAATTCAGATTCCTCTGCTTGGCAAGTCCTCACCTCACCTGCCACTAAGAAAGCGGAACCCTGAGAGAAATGCACTCCCTCAAGCCTGAGAAATGAAGACAAAGTCCTCTGTTTATAAAGAAGAAGAAGTAACTGTGTTCCACCACAGTTCCTCCCTCCCCCACTGACTTTAAGCCCTGCCTCGAAGATAACAGTACAGTTTAACCAAGTTTAAAATTTGCTGGTCAGTCGAGTTCTTAATTCAACCCAGGGCTTCTCAGTGACAAGTCATAGGAGAGCAGCTCAAGATTCACCACCTTTTGGTCAACCTTTATTTCTATTCTAAAGCCCTGTCTTCACATGGAACAACATTAAATGCAACCAGACTCCAACATAATAAAGTCATAGCTAACATTGCTCCTCTTGATTACATGGCAGCAGCGTGTCAAGACAGTGCTGAAAACAGTTACCAGAGAGCCAGCTTCATTACAACTGCCAGTGCTATTAACAGTGCTGTGAACAGGAATTAGTAATGCTGTTTTTGTAAAAATTCCCTGGGTAGATATGGCTTAAGGTCACTGGAGAACTAATGATATTTAGTCATTACAACAGCTGAAAGCTTAGTAGCTAAGTAGGGTGACTGTTTAAAATCCACTTTTTAATTTGAAGTCTATTTACCCTCAACACCCAATAAATACTTTGGATAAAGAATGATGTGGTTATTCAACAAGACTGTAAGCCTTTTTGGGGCAGAGACTTGTTTACTATATGTTTGTATAGCGCCTGGCACAATGGGGCTCCATCTTAGTCAAGGCCTCTGGCTGATTGCAAATTATACAAAATAATTTCCACAATGTCATTTAGCATGACAGCTCAAAATACATCTTCAGAGACCCACAAGCCCTTCCCTTGTTTTGCTGAAGGCCAAACTCGACATCCCTTAAACTTCTAAAGTAAAACAAAAATGGAACAAATATGTGGGAAGAGACAAGCACCAAAATACTAATTTGGGGCATCTTCTTAAGACAATGTTGAAAACAACTGTTTCAGACGGACCATTTTTCAAAAATACCTCTAACTAGCACCCTGTCAACTTAATCTATCAGGGAAGTTAAAAACTGATTCAGATGCAAAAGCCTCATCTACATTAGGAGTCCCATTAGTGCTAATACTGGTGGGGGATTCACTGAGGCTGGGTCTACACTACCCGCCTGAATCGGTGGGGAGAAATCGACCTCTCGGGGATCGATTTATCACGTCCCGTCGGGACACGACAATCGATCCCCGAATCGACGCTCTTACTCCACCAGCGGAGGTGGGAGTAAGCACAGTCGACGGGAAGCCGCAGAGGTCGATTTTGCCGCCATCCCTACAGCGGGGTAAGTCGGCTGCGATACGTCTAATTCAGCTACGCTATTCGCGTAGCTGAATTTGCGTATCTTAAATCGACCCCCCCCCCCGTAGTGTAGATGTAGCCTGAGATTCCTAATGGAGATATAGCCTAAGGCAGACTACAGGCTGGGCTTGAAAAAGTAACCCATTTGCCCAATTCAGGGGAAGTTAAAAGTTGGAACAGGTGAGCGAACTGAATGAAGCCAGCGAACAAAGCCTTTGCCGCTCCTAGCTTCTTCCCCCTACAGGAAGGGGGCAAGCATGGGATTAGGGCTGCATAGGGGCTCCTACTGCTCCTTTAAAAGGAAGGAAGAGCATGAAAGAACATTCCAGCGGCCAGTCCCGTTTGCTTAAGATGGGGGTAGGAGGGCAAAATGGTTGAAACCACTGCCCTTTCATCAGAAAGAGGAAATCAAGGGCCATTGCTGTTTTAACTGGAAAGTAAGAGGGGGAAGAACCAGGAATGGGGAGAAAGGGATAGAGCGATGTGCATGAGCTGGATGAAGGTGCATAAAGGTATAGAGATGTGAATGTGAGGGGAGATGGGCAACAGAGGAAGAGATAGAGAAGATACATTAGAATTGTGAGACAGAACACACAAAGTTTGGCGAGAGAAGAAGGAATACAATACAGAAAAAAGGAAAGAACAAGATACAGAGAAAAGGAAAAATGAGGTAACACTATACTCAAAATATTACATAACTTATAGTAGGAGAGAGTGTGGAATGAAGCCAGAAAAAAGTATAAGAAGAGCACAAGAGGCAGAGAGTTACTTTTAAAAAAAAGCTTATTAAACAGAATTTTGATTGACAAACGCTACAGTTACATACAATGTACAACTGCTTTATTCCTTTGCATTGCCTGAGCGTGTTTTTCGTTTTGTTTTCCAGTGGGAGTGGCAGTGCACTTTTTTCACCTGGACTTGGCTGTTGAGCTAGTGTTAGGGAAATTTTTCAAACCCTGGTCTTGTGACCCTGTAGAAAGCTTTTTTAAACAAACAAACAAATAGAAAACAACTTTCAGGAAAACAAGAGTCATTCATCAGGCTGAGCACATTAACTAGTCACAGCTCGTGAAGCAGCAGATTGATAACAAAACTTCTTTAAAAATATTTACTCTGATCAGAAAAAGCGTGGTATTTCCTTTTGAAATATTCTTCTGAAAAGACCACTCTTCCTAATAATTAGAGGCTGCAGCTTGTGTTTAAGCTGTTAGTTCCTATAGGGTGTAGTTTTCATATCCCATTCAATTTTTGTTTAAGTCATTAAAAAGAAGTTTTCAAAGGTACAATATACCTTTTTAAGAACATACCAATAGGAGACTGGGTAAGTCAGCTAAATAATTACAAACTATGCAATGGGAGATTTATACACCAGACTCTCACAAAAAAAAAACATTCACCACTGGAATCTGCCAACTGAAGGACAGGGAAGACTGACCGAGGGGAAAAGTGTTGGTTCACTATACCAACCCATAAATTGCACGGACCAATAGCAAATGAATTTTTTGAGTCCCCACTTCAGAGCTGCTCTCTCAGGTCTGTCCCTTGTATGATTGGGCAGACAGGCCATGTACATTTTTTTTTCTTGACCTTGAGACTAGATTTAAACTACACATCTCTCATTTCTTCATTGACAAATGTAGAGTGATAATGGTGAAAGCATTTTTCCCACCAGGGAGCAACATCCACTAAGAGTAGATACTTTGATATTTGCTGAGGAAAACTTGGTAGCGTCTGCTAACAAGTTCTTGCCTACTGCTTTCTCCTATTACTTACATTTACAGATAGAAACATTTTTAACAAAATTAGAAGTTTTCAGGATTCATTGAAGTATACAAAAGTTCCAATTTTGCCCCATTATTCAAAAGTACACAAACTAATAATTCATTTAAGATTTAGTAAAGTGGCGAGTTAAAGCTTATAGTAGAGCCTGGAGTTGAAATCAAGCTGCTAACCCAAGTTAAAAGCCAAGTTGCTATGTCCTCACTGCTATTTTAACCTGAATTATAGCTAACCTGAGTTGAAAACATCTTTTCTGCAGTGAAAAACATACCATGCCCTAAGTAAAAAGAGTCCGATGGCACCTTAAAGACTAACAGATTTATTTGGGCATAAGCTTTTGTGGGTAAAAAACCCACTTCTTCAGATGCAGAAGAAGTGGGCTTTTTACCCATGAAAGCTTATGCCCAAATAAATCTGTTAGTCTTTCAAGTGCCACTGGGCTTGTTGTTTTTGTGGATACAGACTAACACGGCTACCCCTGGATACTTCATACCCTAAGTGTTAGATTAGCAGAGCAAACATTTTGGGCAAGAGTAACAGTGGAATTGGCCCACATCTTCAGGAAATTTACTCATTACTTTTAATTTACTCAAAACTGCTCTCTTTCTTTCTTTCTTTCCTGGTTTAAAATACAATTAAAAAAAAACTCTACTACAAAGACTTAAATGGTTTATGGGATGGATCCATCTCCGCCCCATTACTAACCCATGGGAACAGGAGACAGAAAAGGTATGTACATGAATGTCAACCATTGTGCCCAATTTCACATATGAAAATTTCTACTACACTACTTAAAACTGTGCAAGTGGTGTAACATGAGCACTGAAGGTTCAGAGGCCACAGTTTGGTCACCGCCATCTCTCTCATGTTTGGTTGCTTATAGGATTTATCTTGTATCAACTGTTGGTCTATTTCAACTTACTATACATAAAGTGGCAATGGCTGGTGACCCATTTCTTAAATTAAAGAATTATTTAGGAATTGGTATACAAATTTATAACAATGATTCCAAGGACTGGTTTGGAACAATAGTCACTTGTGAAAGTCTGCCCTCCAAAACAGCAGTATAGATAAGTGATAAATATTTTTACACACCAACACAGAAATCCCTAATATCTGCATCCTCACTTATCAGCTTTGCACTACTATTGAAATATTTCACAAGTAATACAAGGATGTTGGGAAAGCGCACACAAATCAGCTCTGGGACAAGTGCTCCAAAATGCTGCAGTACACTAAGCTTCTCAGCATTATACATTCATTTACTGAAAAATCTGTTTTCTGTAAAATAGATCTGCAAATAGATCAATACGTTTTAAGATGCAGCTAAATGAGAAAGTTGACACTGAATTCTAAGCTTACGTAAGTTTATTTCTTTGTTATTTCTATTTTTAAAATACTTGGGTAGACACTAATATTTTGTGTGATGGGGGCCACACAAGTATCTAAGCAGATAGGTATAGAAACTAGTTTGATAATTCTTGTAGTTTTCTTTTTGTAAACAATAGCTAATTGAGCAATACAGTAACTGCTAATATTTAACAGATTTTTAGAGCTCTAACTTTATTCTCTACCAGTTTGATACACAACTTTCTTTGAAGTATTTTATACTAATTTCTACTCCTAAATCAAAACTCTTACATACATTAGCTACTAAGCACAGCAGAAATGCTGTCCATTCTGAAACATTAATTTTCCTGAAGTTAGACCAAGTGAAAAATTAAATTCCACACATGTTGCTACTAGGATTTGAGCAAGTTTTAAACTGCTCAAATTAAAGAAAGTGAAATTTGATCTTCATCTCTGCTCAAAATATAAAGGAGATGCACATTTTCCATATTGCTATAAAAACTGATAATGCATAACATTTTTCTAAAAATGAAGTACTGATTTTATTCAAGATCTGAAGTTGTTTTCGCTCTGTCACTGAAATGTACTATAAGTTTCTAACTAAAACTACTGAGCACGTTATACTGGAGTGCTTGCTCTGCCACGATGAAGTGTATCATATGGTTGCTTCCCATCTCAATTTCTAAAATTTTCTAAAAAGAAAAACTCTTAAGATGAGTTTACTGTTCTTTAACTAAAAACACATTTCATTCAACAGTAGACACAAAAAGTTCCAGAAATACCATACCACCATAAACACACTGCATGTTCAGGTTTCACCAAATCAATCGTGTTAAGTAATTTAGCCCTAGTTGACTACAATGTGGTATTACTGAATAAGTGACACCCAGAGCTGACCATAACAAAATATGCTTAAAAAGAACTGTTAGTGACCATTTGTATACTTGCTTGTGTATTTTTCTGCACTGTAATTGAGTTCACTGACTCAGCTGAATATAGTTAAAGACGTCTCCTAATTTTACTAAAACCATTCAAGTAAGGCAGACCTACAAAAACCATTAGCCCAAGACAAGATTGACATTTTCATGATCTGGTTTCTTCCTTTCACCTCCCGCCAAGAAAGATCAAACCTAAAAATCATTTTAATGAAATAGGGCTGTTTAAGTTGGACATTAGGAAAAACTTCCTGTCAGGAGGGTTAAGCACTGGAATAAATTGCCTAGGAAGGTTGTAGAATCTCCATCATTGGAGATTTTTAAAAGCAGGTTAGATCCCATCTGTCAGGGATGGTCTATATAATACTTAGTCCAGCCATGAGTGCAGGGGACTGAACTAGATGACCTCTCAAGGTCCCTTCCAGTCCTATAATTCTATGAAATATCTTCATGATATCAACCAGAATCAATACTCAAAAACCAACATCAGGTGGTGAATTGGATAGCTTACTCCCTATACCACAGGGTTATTTAAAAAGCAGCATTTAGAAGTACAACATCCAATTAGGACTGGTTTACCAACTATGACCCAAGAGGTTTTTTAGGATCTGTCCTGTCAAGTCTCTTTAAATAGGAACTGTACACTGAAGTACATTTTTTAAACTAAAGATAATTCCAACACACAATTGAAAAGAAAAAAAAATCTTGTAAACACAGTATATACCACTAGAATCAGCTCAGCTTTCATTTTGATCATTTTAATATTTTAGCTTTAAGTATAAAACTTTTTAAAAAACACCTACAAGTTCTGAATCATTGGAATTTTTGTTCTATTTCCTGTAAAAACACCAACAGCACTCAATATTCTGTTTGTACTAGTTCAAGAACAAAAAAAAAAAAAAAAAAAAAGCACTGTGATCTCTCAGTCTTAAGTTTATACTTATCTCAGAAGCTCTAGATCATACCTGACAGACTTATTTCTTCCAATGTTTCCAACCATAAATGCTCATAGTATCTGAGAGGAATTTTCAACACGGTAAAAAGCAAACTTGTTTTGAGATTTGAATACTTATATTCTCATACACAAGTAGTTTGCCAAAAGCTTTTAAAACTTATTAGTATATAAAATATAAAAATTAGCCAGGAATAATCTATTGAATAAATAAATTTAATTCAATGGGTCTTGAAAAATGTACAAGTTATCTACTAAGCTGGAAAGGAATAGGGTGCTGGGATTCCTACCAGGGTGCTGTCTCTCGACCCAGTTCAGAAACTGTATCTTTTATGTCAACCTCCAGATTGTAGATGTAGTAAATTTCAAGGCCCCTTGCCCTCCTTCTGACTTATGTGGCTGCTGGAAAGGAAGAACATTACTCTCTTCATGTTCCCTCAGCTCCACCATAGTGTCTTTAAAAGCTGGTGTGAGGAATGTTTCTGCTACCACCCCTTCCTCCACCCTCTTCACTGGTATGACAGAGAATGTTTCTCTGCTGCTCTAGCATGACCCAAGCTTCTGGCTGCTATGAGATGAAGGGGGCTCCTTTGTTTTGGGTCATCCCAACAGTTTCAGTGCCTGCTTCTTTTACTACTTCTAGATCTCCCATGAAATAGCAGCATAGAATTGGCCCGATTCTTGTCAGTTTTCACTGCTGCTATTCAGAATCCTATGCCTAACAGAGAAAATGGACAAGAGGCAGCTCAATTTTCATTCTGTTGCAGTTTAGCACCCGTCCCCCCGCAGATTTGGGATGACAGTACTGCAGGAGCTAACCAAAGGTAACAACTCTTTAAATGAAAGATTAGATCTATGTCATCAATGTCCATAAAAGTGTAGTATGTCAAGGGAAGCATCCCATTTGCCAACAGCACATAAGAAGAGACTGGATTTGTCAAGCCCCAGATTCAAAGCATTCTACAGGTGATCCAGATAAAAAATAAATGCATTGAAATATACTTGCTCCTCCGGTAAGTTACTATTTTTGACCTTGTCTATACTGGCGATTAACACTGATTTCAGCAAATGGTTGTCAATGATTAGTGTACTGAGCTACACTAGTTCCTGGATCCTGACTGCGGAAAATACAGTCAATTCCCAGTATAGGTGAGGCTTAAGTTTAGTTTATACAGCATCCAAAAGCATGATGTAGCACACACTAATACAGCGATTCTGTATTTATTAATTCAATACCAAATATACCCGCAAACTGAATTTGCTAAAAACTGTGCACAGTATATTCTTTGCAAAGCCAAGGTTTGGAAATGACAACATTACTTTATCTAGTCTATCATAAGAACGGCCATACTGGGTCAAACCAAAGGTCCATCTAGCCCAAAATCCTGTCTTCCGACAGTGGCCAATGCCAGGTGCCCCAGAGGGAATGAGCAGAACAGGTAATTATCAAGTGATCCATCCCCTGTTGCCCAGTCCCAGCTTCTGGCAACCCTCAAGCCACCACCTACTTTTCTAAGATGGCTAAAATAGGCATTTGACACCTTAAGTCTGTTGTACAGAACATAGCTAGGACTTCTAGTAGTAGTATTAGAGTAGTGCCTAGTGACATTCGTCATGTCTTAGGTGCTGTAAAAATGCCTGAGATGGTGGTCCCTGCCCAAAAGAGTTTACAATCTGAATAAAATTCACTGTTTAGAACGTTACTAGATACCTTTCAGTGAATGAAGCTCCATATTAGATACCTCTCAATAGTGTATTTGGATCCTATACCAGGGCAAAAGATAAACTGTCTCAAGTAACTGTGTTAGAAACCTCTTTCATTAGAAAGATTTCAGTGTCTTCTCAACAATTGAACTAACTTGAAAACTGGAAACCAACAGCCCACATATACTACAGATGGAAAATGCAGCCAAATCCTGCAAAGACAATGTAGACAGCAAACACGAGCGCCCACACATACGCAAATCAAACCGCTGACACTGGACACAAACCCAAACAGCAAAATATCTCAGCAAACAGACACCTGTCAGCTATTTGGCAT